GCTTTCTTGAATGGGACCCTGACTGAGGTAGTGTATATGAACCAACCACAGGGTTTTGTCGATAAAGAACACCCTATATAATTGTTACTAATATTTGCGCTTGTTTGAGAGAAATTTGTATTTTATTTTTAGACATTTTATTACCGTTGCACAGTTGTCTTCGACCCATTTCCAACAATGTCTGACACACAAATCTGCACCCTAGAAATTGGTAAGTTTCTCTTTCCATAATTTCCGTCTCTACCCCATTCTCAACCACTCGAATTAATTACACAATACTTACAATTTGAGGGGTAAAAACGGAAATGCCTGAGAAAAAATCCTACAATTTTCCAGTCAACAATGTCATGCGTCGGACATTGTGGAAAATGGGTGATAAACTACTGTGCAACGGTCATGAAATTTCTAAAAATGAATCCAAAAGTTTCTCTCAACCAGGCCCAAAATATTGTCATATAATTAAAACATTTGATTTAATTGTGCCAAATTAAATATTATATCATACCATATAAAAATGTGAAATTGCTAATTACAAATGCATAAATAATGTTTCAAATTTTTAATAGATGAAAGTTTTTGTAATTATAATAATTAACCAATTAATTAGGTTAATTGACGTGCAAAATTTACATCAAATCATGCAATCACATTTAATCAAAGTAGAAATTAAATTACTTTCCATAATCTATATACGACAATCCCATAATCTTTTCATTGACTAAACATAGGGCTGTCCGTGGGTAAGTTCGGTTTGGTTCTGAAGAGAATCGAACCAACCCAAAACTTTTGGGTATTTAATAAATGGAACCGTTGGGTCCAAATATAATTATGGAACTGTTTGGGTTCGGTTCCGTATCATAATTAATTTTTTTAATATTTACAGCAACACTACATAAATACAACTAATGATATTTCATTCGTAACTTTTACAAATTAACGTAGCTCAATTCAAAAACATATAAATAACTATCAGTCCAATAAGATTAATTTTATCTCATTTGAAGGTTTTAAATTTAATGAGCAAATTCAAATAGTCATGTAGTCATGAACAAATTAAAATGGGCTAATGGTCTTTAAAAATGATTTGGACTTTAAAATTAAAATTATGAAATAATCTGATTTATTTAAGTAATTTGTTAATTTGTTTAGAAAAAAATAAAATAATTTAATTAATTCAATATAAAAAATTATTTAGTTTCTGTTTTTATTCGGTTCTTCGATTTTTGGTCTAGACCCGAGATCCGACACAAACCCATCGGTTCTCGATTCGGGTACTAGTTCGGGTTTTAACTTATGAAGAATTGATCGGTTCGGTTCGATGTTGTTCGGGTTCAGTTCAGTCCGATTCGGTTCGAGACTTTTGGACACCCCTAACTAAATATGACAATTATTTGATCATTTCTTTACCAAAA